TGAACCCTGAACATGTGATACAAAGAGCATCAGGAGCACATAGAAGATCAGGACCAGGGTACCTTTTTCTAGGAGCACACATCTCTGAGGCAGCAAGTTCTTGCTCATGACATCTATACAGCCATTGAGGGCGAGGAGGATGAACATGGTGAGGTGCTGCCACTCTTTAGGGTACATAAATCTCGGTGGCACCTTTTTGTTCATCAACACCATCCCATCATCAAGACAGAAGACTACATAAATTGTTAAGGTGGAGCCAGTCACCATCTTCATCAAACCTCCATAGGATATTGTCCATAGCCTGGCCCATCTTCCCTTATTCCTAGGAGGACACGAAGCACATAGGAGAGAGTCACTGACTAGCATGGCCTTAAAGAGCACTGTTGCCTGGTACAGTCCATAAGAGAAAAGATACAGCCCTGGGTATAAATGACCATTGAACTTTCCCATGAAGTTACAGGTCTTTATGACTCAGAACCTCTCTGCCCTCCTCTCTGTTGAGGACCCCTGAAGTTTTGGGCTGCATAGACAGTACTCACTTCTACCTACTTTTATCATCTCCCTCTGCCCACTGCTCTGAGACAGAATGGAAAGTTCTGGGCAGGAGCCTACACTACTGGGGTGATGGGTCTCATTGTTACATTCCATTCTAGTACACTGGGAACTGACTTCTGCCAAAGAAGGGAGATGAGTATTTCCTGGTATGCAGCTGTGAGAATGTGTGCTCTCATGAGCTATGTGTTTGGGTCTTTGAGATGTCTCTGGTCACACTTGTCCCTCTCTTGCACAGCTTGGTTTCTTATTCTCCAGCCCAGCACTTAGAGGATCAGTGGAGATATGCGCGGACATGGAGATTATTCGGAAAAGGCCTGGGTTGCTCACAAACATTTAGGCATCCGCTAAGACTCCTTACTCATATTTTTGGTCATATAGTGAAAGCAAATGTATTCTTCCTGAACATAAAAGTTTATCAACATTTGGGTCAGGAAGCTTACATATATACATACTGACCCCAATCTGGCCTCTTTGTTTTTCTGTGACAGATTTCGGGGACCACCAAGAAAGCCCCTCATCTGCCCCTAAATCTCTCTCTGCTGGACTGTAGATGAATCTGAAAATCCACCTTTTGAGATCAAGTTTGGGATGTTAAGGTGCAATTTATTAAAATGCAGATAAGTTGAGACAATTAGATTCAGTGAGCCACTTATATTTAATGTGAATTAGCTCAACTTGATTTGCTCCTTAATTATCGTTTGCTATGTAGGTAGAAAGTGTCCTAGGCACTAGGTGACAGCCAGTTGCATCTGAGGTGCTGTATCCAAGGCAAGAGTTTTTTCAGTTAGAACGGACAGTAGAGAACAAGGTATAGGGAGGGCGAGGCAGGCTCTGGGCACACAAATGGTTCTGGGTGCATTCTAGGAGGCACAGGGAATAGGCGTTTCTCTGGAAGCGATAATTGTGCTGAAGGCAGAGACGTCCATCACTCAGCACGAACCATACTGACGTCACAGTCTTCAGCATAATCATCTGTCCTCAGGACACAAGCAGTGCTGTGGGGCAGAGAGGCAGCGCCCCTGCTAGAGTGGGGGAGATTTTACACCCAGGTCCCGGCACTGCCTCTGAGCCCTCAGTCTCATACACGCATCTCCCTTTCCTACACCCATTTATGTCAGAAAAATCCATACCCTGTTCATACCCTTGACTAGGAAGGCCATTTCTTACCAGTGGGAAAGTAGGAACTTGAGTGTGAAAATCAGTAAGAGAAAGAGCTTAAGATTGTTTTACAGAGGGACTTGCCTTCCTCATTTCATTTTTACTTTGACTTTCTTTTCTTTTTCATACACGAGTGTGGTATAGATTGGCTAGCAAGTCTCTGTATTCATTTCCTTTTCTTTCTCTGTATGCTGATAAACTACATTTCCCATCATGTCTTGCAGTTAGATGCAGCCTGGCAACTGCATTCTAGCCAGTGCAGTGTGAATGGAAGTGATATGTAGTACTTTCTAGCTTCCCACGTAAAATTGTCCCTCACATACTATTTTCCTTTTTTCTGGTTTTATACAGAACATCACAGCTGATTTGGAAATCGTATGTTGTTGAGGACAGAGGCACCCCAAGATGGAAGGAACAGAGGCACTCCACGATGGAAGGGGTTTCCTGGATTACCCCCTTTTAGGAGGCCTATACACTCACTGTTCAGGAACACTCATTTTGGACTATATCTGGCCAAGAAATAAAGTTTTCTTTTTGATTAGGCAATAGATATTTTTATATATGCTTATTATATCAGATAGTTTACCCGAGCTGATGAGAAACTAATACATGGCCTTTGATGAAATTTTAAGGAAAATCTGTAGGCAAAAAATGAGAGAAAAATAAGCACCTGCTATTCCAAACCTGACAATAACCACTATTGACATTCTGTCGTAGAATCTCAGATTTATGAAGGCAGGGTTGTGAAATGGGGAAAAAAAGATGAATGGTAATTGAAAAACCAGGATTCCAGTCCGAATTTCCTCCTAAGTAGCAGAGCTTCGATTTCTCTATTATAGAAAGGAAAGAGCTTTGACATCTATGTTCTCTAGAGAGAGAGGTGGGGGGCAGGAGGAAGAAGAGGGGAGGGGAAAAGGAGGAGGGAAAATGGGAAGAGGAAGGGAGGGCAACATGGGGGTTATTGCATAGAAGGGAGTGATTTTGTTTACCCTATAAGTTTTTCTAGCTAGTGGTCAAAACATCCAGAAAAATTCAAAGAGCTGAATGCTCAGGAGAAAGAGGTACAAAGGGAAGCTATGATATGACACCGTGATGGAGTGAGCCATGGAGGAGAAATCTCTGGTACTCTCTATGGTTCTTGCCTTTGTTCTGGGAAATTGCTGAGCTGCTCAGAGGGGAAGTGGCCCTCTGTGCAGCAAAGTCCATGGTTAGCTAAGTATTTACCATCACAGAGAACCAGTGCATGTTTCCGAGTAGCCCAGTTCTACCTAGAATGGACTGCAGGTTGCAGAAGTGACTGTTTTGGGTCACTAGTAACATTATCTCCAGCATATCAGAGCTGTGGGTCTAAGGGACATAGTGGACATTGATAGATAAACAGATACTATTTATCTCTTGACCACCACATTTGTCTCCACCTCTTGGCCATTCCTGGCATCTGTGAACCAGTGTCCAGAAGAGGAGAGGGAACAGCACCACATGGCACGGATGAGGACAAACAGCCCCAGTTGAGCTCCCACGTGGGATGCTTAGACCCCCACCTTGGCCAGGCACCAACGCTACATGTTGTTCATGGAAACATGAACATCCTGATCTCAACTTTGAAGATAGGGATCACACATCCCAAACCAGACACTGCCCACGAGTAGCCGAGAAGGAAGCCAAGGGAGGTGAATGATTAGCAGAACTGGCAGACGGCTCCCGTGTCTGTGGACACCAAGTGCCTGCAAAGCTGTTTTATGAAGAAAACTCAGCTTGACCTTGGCCTGGCTACTCCACGGCGAGACCTCCCTCATACTTGCCTCCCCGACTTGCCACCCCACACTCTAGACGGGCCCCAGGCCCAGCCACTGCCACTTGCCTAGCTCGATATGCCAGAGTGAGCAAGAAGGTCCTTAAGAATTTGGTAAACATGAGTGCTGTGAGATAATCCTGTCTTCACAAAGCTAATAATGTAATTAAAAGCGAGAGACGCACACTTGCGAAGTAGACAGATACCCGCTAGTTAGAGAATTATTTGGAATTAGAGGATGTCATTTTGAGAGATGTGTAGAGTGCATTTTAGAAGATTTCAGTGAGGAGTTGTTCATGGGGGAGGTTTGAGGTTAGTCAGAATCATCCTCACGTATGTTCCAGAAAACTGCTAATAACTCCGAGGTTTTAGTAATTAGTTCTTTCAAAAGCCTTTACACCGACTGTAAAGGAATCCTTCATTTCTTCTTGTTGTGGGACAGGCAGACATGGCTAAGAATCCAGAGCTGTATTGTGCAGATTATAATGTGATGGAGCCAATTAAATGCTTGCGCCATCAGTCTCTAATGCTAAGACGAGAGTACTTGGGGGAGGAGTGGAACCCTGACAGGGATGCAGGTGAGGCTGAGAACTCTGAACTCTCTAATTCCATGGGACTTCCCTTTCTGGTAGACAAAGTGCCTCTTCCCACCTGGGAGAAAACGTCTTCCTCTGCATAGACGCCTTTCGATGACTGCACCTGGGATAATTCTGTCACCAGGGGATGCCAGTCTTTGTAGGACCCAGTCCCACCTCCCTTATTACCTCCATGTCCATAACAAGAGTAGATCCCAGTATAGCCCAGACAAGGATGTATGAAACCTGGTCTGAGGTGAGAGAGGAAATCAAAGCATCAGGAGAATGACAAGACCTCACCAATCAGTATTGGCAAGAGTGTGGGGAGTGTGGATGTGAGTGAATTCTAAAGGTGTTTGACCATGTAAAGTGAAATGGAAGGGTTGACCGAGCCACATTTATCAATATGAGTTTACTTTCCTGAGATTCTATGTTTAATATGTGGCTTGAACGTCTGGGAATGGTGTAAATAGTCTGCTAGGTTGGCCAGTTGAAACCTGGACTCGCTGGCAGCTTATAGTCAATGAAGCTGACATATTGGAATTGCCCTAGCAAACTCTGGAGAAGCACTGCCAAAGAGAACTTCCTGCAAAGATGGGAATTTTCTAGCCACCTGTGGCTTCTGAGCACTTCAGATGAGGCTGGTGCAAGTAGAGAACTGAAGTCTTTATTTTAATGAATTTAAATTTAACCAGTTATGTAGATAGTAGCCATGGTATTGATTGTGCAGCTCTAGTGTAAGGAGGCCGAAGGCTCATGCAATGACAAGGAGAAGCCTTTTTCCATCTGAGCTCGCTCTGGCTGCCTCCTGCATTTGATACATGGAGTGCTCTCATTATCACTCACTTTGGAATAATTTTTCCATTTCTCTTTTTATTTTCTCTTTATCCCAGAAATCATCTAGAAGAACATCTTTTAATTTCCAAATAAATTGTCTCTTTTTTCTGTTATTATCTATTGTATGTCGACAATGTTTTCCTGCTTTTTAAAAAGATGTTGTTTTTCTTTATAAATGTTTCATGAGAAGTATTTAAATATTCCATGATCCTATTAATTTTGTATGATATGATTTCTGAGATGGGTGTGTTATGTTCTTTTAATGTGACTCTGATTTGTTCATTTCTCTTTTTATTTCTATTAGTTTTTCTTCTAGGCATATAGATGCCACAATGTTGATGCACTAAAATTCACAATTATTATTTCTTCCTGGTAAATTGAATATCATAGAAAGAAGAAAATACATGTGTCCCTGGCAACTGTTAATGATTATCATCTTTAGTTTTCTTTTGTCTGATATTAGCACTATAATATCTGTTTTCTTATATTATGTTTCTATTACACTTTTATGCCTGTGTTTTCATCCTTCTGCACTCAGTCATTTGAGCATATGTCCTGTGGTCAGCATACAGCTTGACTTTCCCTTTTAACCTGTTCTGGTTTGACAGGGGAATTTAAGATGCTTAAATTTATTGGTATCGTTATATAGTCGGACTGCTTTTTAAGATGCTTAAATTTATTGTTGTCGTTATATAGTGGGACTGCTTTTTAACATTTTATTGTATGCACCCATATTCCTTTTTTGTTCCTGACTCCACTTCCTTCTTTAAGAATATTTCCATAGGAATGAGTAACTTACATTTATTAGAATGAAAATTTCCCCTGGAACAAAGAAATGTCTGTTAGAATGGAAGGTTATGGGAACCTGAGGCTGATGACACATTACTGTGTTTCTGTGTTCCTCA